TGCGTTGAAAAGTTTCTATCGATATATTATAGTTTTCAAGATAAAAGGCAAAAAAGCAAAAAATAATAAAAACTCTTCAAGTGCAGTTATAACTCCAACCAGGAGTCGACTGACGATTTTGACTACTTTGACTTTTTTTTGTAGAACTCGTTTTGCTGTTCCTTTTTGTTGTAAAAATGTTTCTGTCTATCTATTATAATTTTCAACATAAGGCAAACATGACCAAAAAATGGTTAGATTTTAAATTTAAGGACAATAACTCCTCTAAGAACTCGTCTGGTAGTTTTGATGTAAATAACAGTAAGTGGATATGTCCTTCCATAGTAACTCTATCTATAGTGGTTTTCAAGATAGTAGAGAAAACTTCCATTTTACACTGATGATTTATTTTCAGCCATGTCGGTCATGTTGAATAGTAGGCGGGGTCATCGGATACACTTTTGAAACTACATACCAAATGATGATTGTGGCCAAGCTTAATTGTTTTAATTTGACTCAGTAGTTTCAGAGAAGAATATTTTGTAAAAGTTAACTGACGACGGACGACGACGATGGACGCCAATTCAAGTGATGATAATAGCTAACTTTACTTTTTTATATGAATACAAGATGTGGATACATTTCAATGAGACAGCAGGCCAACGACACATATAACAACAACTAAATCCCTTCTAGTGGGCTACACAGTAGTTACCAATAGACAAGTAGTGTCTACAATATATATGTCAAGCTCTTAATCTTCCCCGATTCTACATTAGATCTCAGTACTTACTTTTTAAACTCGCTCTTAATCTTCCTCGATTCTACACTTGATCTTAATACTTACTTTATAAACTCGCTCTAAATCTTCCCCGATTCTACATGAGATCTCAGTACTTACTTGTTAAACTCGCTCTAAATCTTCCCCGATTCTACATTAGATCTCAATACTTACTTTTTAAACTCGCTCTAAATCTTCCCCGATTCTACATTAGATCTCAGTAATTACTTTTTAAACTCGCTCTAAATCGTCCCCGATTCTACATTCGATCTCAATACTTACTTTTTAAACTCGCTCTAAATCTTCCCCGATTCTACATTAGATCTCAGTAATTACTTTTTAAACTGGCTCTAAATCTTTCCCGATTCTACATTAGATCTCAATACTTACTTTTTAAACTCGCTCTAAAACTTCCCCGATTCTACATTAGATCTCAATACTTACTTTTTAAATTCGCCCTAAATCTTCCCCGATTCTACATTAGATCACAGTACTTACTTTTTGAACTCGCTCTTAATCTTCCCCGATTCCACATTAATTCTCATGCAGTAATTACTTTTTAAACTCGCTCTAAATCTTCCCCAATTCTACATTAGATCTCAGTAATTACTTTTTAAACTCCCTCAAAATCTTCCCCGATTCTACATTAAATTTCAGTACTTACTTTTGAAACTCGCTCTAAATCTTCCCCGATTCTACATTAGATCTCATGCAGTACTTACTTTTTAAACTCGCTCTAACTCTTCCTTAATTCTACATTAGATCTCAGTACTTACTTTTTAAACTCGCTCTAAATCTTCCCCGATTCTACATTAGATTTTAGTACTTACTTTTTGAACTCGCTCTAAATCTTCCCCGATTCTACATTAGATCTCAGTACTTACTTTTTAAACTCGCTCTAAATCTTCCCCGATTCTACATTAGATCTCAGTAATTACTTTTTTAAACTCGCTCTAAATCTTCTCCGATTCTACATTTGATCTCAGTACTTACTTTTTGAACTCACTCTAAATCTTCCCCGATTCTACATTAGATCTCAGTACTTACTTTTTAAACTCCCTCTTAATCTTCCCGGATTCTACATTAGATCTCAGTACTTACTTTTTGAACTCGCTCTAAATCTTCCCCGATTCTACATTAGATCTCAATACTTACTTTTTAAACTCGCTCTAAATCTTCCCCGATTCTACATTAGATCTCAGTAATTACTTTTTAAACTCGCTCTAAATCTTCCCCGATTCTACATTAGATCTCAGTACTTACTTTTTAAACTCCCTCTTAATCTTCCCGGATTCTATATTAGATCTCAGTTCTTACTTTTTGAATTCGCTCTAAATCTTCCCCGATTCTACATTAGATCTCAATACTTACTTTTTAAACTCGCTCTAAATCTTCCCCGATTCTACATTAGATTTCAGTACTTACTTTTAAACTCGCTTTAAATCTACCCAGATTCTACATTAAATTTCATTATGATTATAGTTTCAATACTGTGTATTTATTTGTTTTCGTAGGTAACAATTTTCGTGGATTGAGGGACAATAGTATTTTTGTGAATATTTAAATTCGTGGTTTTGTACAGACAAGCCTACAGAAAATTTACACTTCGTTGAACATGTTAATTCGTGGTTCGCGATTACCCACGAAACCCACGACAATTGATATCCAACGAATAATTATGAATCTACAGTCAAAAATTTTTAGTAAAGACTGAACGCAAGTTACTGCGTAACCTAACGTAACGCTACAAAGGGTGCCGTTTTCCACATTTTTACGGTTTCACTTACCTACTTTTGTTAGAACGGTTGAAAGTATATAAAAAATAGCCTTCCCCCAAATGTCAGAATAAATTACATTTATAAACTCTTTATTATATCTAAATGTAAATGTTCAGGTATGGCAATGATTTTGCTTGGATTTAGTTCTTCACAAATGTAACGCACTGCCTTTGTATAAACGAATGCGGGTTTTCTTGGGATAATTTTGTATAAAAGTGGATTGTTTTACAACTGTAATAGTATACACCTTCTACAACTTCCGCGCCGGTTTGAAAAGTACCACCCCATACATCACTACGTTCATGTTATAGAAATAAAGGTTTTCGGGTTACTTTCATAACATAAAACTCATAGTCTGGGTCATCTGCTAGAACAGCTACAACTGAACCGCCACCAATAAGGCGTGCTACCTAAACAAAATAAACTTCGCGATCAGTTGGTTCAATAGCCTGAGAATTTAATTCTTTCCTTCTAATTAATTTAAAATCTCCGACAAATCTCCGATTAAAACAGTTTTAGATATTTCCTTTCACACAGTCTTTACATCAATAACAAGACAGATGATTCGTGATCAGGTCTCCTGGTGATGTGTCATGTGATACAATTTGATGATTTTTTCTATTATTTGTAATAGTTTCAGCAATATCATCGCACGGAATATTCTCTGTATATCTAAATATACGGCAATAATCTATATACTCCGGATTTCGGTATTTGTAGACGATTTTCACAAAAGTCATTAAAGTCCTTAGTACACTGAATTTTAGATTTTCGCCTGAGAACAGCGATATATGACTGTTTTTTTAAGAAACGACCAGCGGCGTCTTGTGGACCCTTGGTGGGTGAAGTTTCGTAAAAATTACGTATAAGTGTTTTTTTACCAAGAGTATTGTTACTGACATCTCCCATGCAAAACCCTTTTGTCGTTGTTGACACTTGCCTTTCATCATTACAGGTAAGCTAGCATGGTTGGAGACTCCTTATGGTAATGGTAAACAGGCCATAGAAGTTACAGATGGTAGTTTCTTCATCAGTGCTCTAGCTTCACGGTCTGATGGTCTTCTGTCTTGTAGCTTGACACAGGATAAAGAGAAAGTCATGGCTTTACTGTTGAAAACCAATCCTATGATTATAGAAATAGGTGAGTAACACAAGGAATTTAGCATTTGCATTTACTCGATTATAGTACATGGGTTTAGAGTGGGAGGACATCTACAGCAGATTATGATTGTCACTGTAGAAGAAGGCAATGTTAGGGAACGACCATTTTACTTCAAGGGGGGTTATGGTTTTTTCCTAAAAAAATATTCTGATCCCCAATTTGATAAAAAAAAAAAAAATAGTGTGGTCAAACAGATGACAAAAAAAAATATTCTGAATCAAGATTTTCCCCATACCCTATAGTGTTAAATTTTGAAAAAAAAATAATTTGATTGATAGCGTCGAAAAAAAAAAAAATCTGACTCAGATAAAAAACCATAACCCCCCTTGAAGTTAAATGGTTGCTCCCTTGGTAGGATAGCAATAAAAAATTGATCACATTGTATTGCCCCTAAATACGTATTGAGGCCCTGGGTTTATGCAAATGAAAAACCAATTAACCAAACAGCACACAAACAACATAAAAGAGAGCTTGACACACTAGAGGAACATTATACAGTTTAGACAATCGACATGTAAGAAGCTACTTTGTCAATAGAGAGGGGAAATTTGGATTCTCAATGGTAAGTAGGGTAAGGGCGGAAATTTGTCCTGCAACAGGAGTTGTTGCAAGGGTATTCACCATGAGGACCGAGAGAATAAAACTCGCCAATCGCAAGACAAGACAAGACAAGACAAGACAATTTTATTCTTTAAAACCACTGTATATACATTGGTACAAAGAATGAAATAAAAAGACATAGTATACAAAATAAATTGTGCACATGACAAGATAAGAATGTTACAATTACTATACAAGATCATTTAGTTATTATAACAGAAAAACAGATAGACAAATGCTAACCAGGAAGACCTGCTAGTGAATTTATAACCTTTATAAATTTACATATATTTTTTAACTTATTTCTATGTGTTATGCGTATACCACAAGATATCAGATAGCTTCCATGGCAACCGATGAGTCTTATGTAGACGACACGCACGTCTTACGCTCCAAATAATAAGCCTGTTATCATTGATAAGTTTTTTTCGTATTTATGCAACCTGGATAGCCATACGGACAAACTCCCAGCGTAAGTCCTATTGGCGGACAAGGTAACTATGTGTCTGTACCCATAAGGTGTCATACTGTTTGAAGAAAGATTTCCAAGTCAACTATATAAAACAAGGAGCTAGCGTATGTTTTGTTCTAGCTACAATTTTTGTTAAGTTGTTAGCATTGTCTTTGTAAATATTGCTTTACTTATATGTTGAATATTAAGAAAGTGATCAAGTCTGACTCCTTAAAATTACAGGAGAAAAGGGTAAAATGGACATGTGGAAGAGGTGTATTTCAAAAGAAGTGACCAGCACACACTTTGTGAAGAGAAATGGAATAGACGGAACAGGAGTTGCGTTTGCCCCAGAGAAAACGGGAGACCCAGCTGGACATAAGCTTGACCTAGCTATCTTCCCGGGAACTAAGTGGTGTGGACTGGACAATGTAGCTTCTAGTTATGATGATCTGGGTAAGAAAGTAAACAACACATAAAAGTCAGCAAAGCAATGTTACAATTTTAAACACCTTTTATGAACTATTTCAGTCTCACAGTTCTTGTTAATAATACATGTAGTTCAAAACTTTTGGTGCTATAGTGCCAAATATAGTACAGTCTTTGTTTTATATCATATTAATAAAGTAATGACATCTTTTTCATTGTACTCAAATGTTGTGCCTCAATACATTATATATAATGCTCTGAAAAGTGATGTTTTTGGCAGTTTTGAACTGAAAAATATACTCAACATATATGTACGTTTCGGCGATAAAGTGTATCGACAGGTAGTAGGTATTCCTATGGGCACTAATTGCGCCCCTTTAATAGCAGATTTATTCCTGTATTGCTATGAATCTCAGTTTATGACCAAACTCAGTAAAGACACGTCATTGTTACATTTGGTTGACACATTCAACAATACCTACCGTTATCTTGATGATATTTTTTCGTTAAATAATCCAAAGGAACTTACTTTAAATAAATCTTACATAAACAGCAGTAGTTGTCCTTTTCTAGATTTAGACATTTCAATTTCTAAAGGGAAACTCCATACTAAAATTAACGACAAAAGAGACGATTTTTTATTCCTTATTGTTAATTTTCCTTTTTTGACGGCGATGTTCCTTTGGCTCCATCATACGGTGTTTATATATCCCAACTCTTTCATTATGCCCGTGTGCGTAGTGATGTCATAGATTTTAACGAACGTATTCAATACATCACTGGTAAATTATTCAGTCAGGGATTTCGTTACAATAAATTACTTAAAACTTTTACTAAATTCTTTCATAGATACAAAGATTTGATTAGTAAATTTGGCTGCATGTACCTGTAGAAAACTTATTAAAAACGGTATTTCACATCCTAAATTTTACGGTAATAGTGTACTAAAAGCGCGAACCTTTAAGCAAACTTATTAGTAAAGGTTATCTTATTAATGTTGAATAAGATCTTTGAATATTGTTTACATTGGCAAAAATATCAGTTTTGTCATCAACAAATTAAAACATAACTAAATTTGTATTCTTTTCGAATGGTGTTTTTGGATGTATAAATACACATCCACGTTCATTTTCAATATAGAGATTGCTTTATCTATATATAACATTAAACATATTTATTATAAGGTTAAATTCAAACTGTCCTATTGCCTGTCGATACTTTTATTTTGGTATTGACAATATAAATGAAATGTTTTAAGTCACCCTTGTTGGTTGTCTTACTTTGACTACGGTCAAAATATTTCATCTTGCTAGAATGTATGAATAATTTTCTTTTAATATTTTTTATTCAGGAAAATATAAGAATACAGATATGTGTTGTCGTGACCACGATCACTGCCCGTATTTCTTAGATCATTTTGCCGAGAAATATCACCTTCGGAATCCATACCCTTGGACTATCAGTCACTGTGATTGTGACACTGGATTGTTTAACTGTCTAAAGGTATGCCTTAAAGCACCTATGTTTCAGAAGTACATTTCAGTCTAGAGGGTTTTAGATTCAATACTAGAAAATGCATGTTATAATGCGATTTTAAAAGAAATTGGACCGAGGCATGTAAGGCTCATTTCAAATCGGTACTTTTGGTTTGAGGACTGCAAAAATCGTGGCTTACAGTATACAAATATAAATAATCAACCGATGATGAAACGATAAAATTTTATATGTTATACTGATTGATTGATTGTTGGTTGCTTAAAGCCCAGTGGCAAATATTTCATGCATGTTCATGACAATTATATGTTATAGGAAACGGTTTTATGATAAAGGTTCCGTATGTTAAGCTTTTCCAAAATATCATGGAGCCAATGAATGAGGTGAAATAGTACAAAAAGTACCATCCATTCTCACAAGCAATCACCATGAAGCTTTAATGATCCTGTATCGTCGTTGTACATATGTATGTTTAACATAGTCAAGTCGTCAGTTACTCTCTTACTTAGTTGACAACTGTACAAATATTTACGGAACAGATTTGACTGGACGCACAGTTACGGTAATTAGACAAATAAAAACAAATGGTTCATGCGTTTCTTGTTTCATGCTTCCCATGCTTTATATATCTGATATGCAAAACTTTTAATTTAAGAGTTAAATAGAAGAATACAAAACATTAGTTTTGCGCAAAAAAAATATGACAGCTTACGTTTTCTTCATAACTTGAATAACAGTTTCTGGTTATAGAATAGAAATAGTTTAATAATATAATTTTTGTAAAATACATGAATGTGTTTGTTTATCAACAGAAAATTAACTCTACAACATCAAACGAAGTTGGAGAAATGTTTTTTGGTCTCCTGAATGTGAAATGTATCAAGTTTGAACAGGGGCAATACTGCGCTAAAGAGCATTGGTCAAAATTGTGGTGTGAAGAGACGGCAAGTGGAGAAAAGGCGGTCTTACACTCGTTTCCGTATAAATGGGCAGACGATGTTATTGGATAAAATAAAAGATGTATAAAATTATATATTTCATGCATTTTAACAAAGAAAATAATCCAGTATACCGCGTCTTAAATATATGTATGATTTTGTCATACTTGACAAAACATAATTTGATCTAACAATAGAAAGCAACGGACAAAAAGCAAAAGTGTCGGACGAAAAGCAAAATTATCGGACAAAAATCAAAACGGACCGAAAGCAACGGACAAAAAGCAAAAGTCTCGAACAAAAAGCAAAATAATCGGACAAAAAACAAAAGCGGACAAAAAGCAAATCCCGGACCGAAAGCACCGTATCAGTCACTCCCTTGGGGACCCCAAACATTAAATCTCTATTGGAATCCAATTCATACGTTCCCATGCGTAGATTCCCACAATTTGTACGATATCTTTATCCCCACATATGTTGCGTATGAGGTATCAAACATATTTGTGTTTAATGAGAATCAACTGCAATTTCCGATAAATCCAATATATTATTTCCCAAAACAGAAAAAAAGGAGTTTTGGTATAATGGACAATGTGACAACTATCCATTTATAACAGAGGACAAAGACTTGAACAATTTTAGATCACTGTACTACCTTCATTAATGAGTCAAACCAATACTATATCGTCACTGACCACTGTTAGTAAATAGTAAATACATGTTATTTCTAGTATATTTATGTAAATACATTCAGTCACAGAAAAACGCGAAAATAACTGAAATTAAAAGAAGAAAAAAAATAACCGTTTTTGGAATAAAAAGGGAGAGGGCAAAAATATTTCTCCTGTCCCCAAGTAGCTTTGGCAACAACCTATTTTACTATACAAATAAAGGTACGTGTTATTGTAAAAAAAATCATTTCCTGGCCATGATCTCCTGATTTAATTATGAGAGAACGATAATATTCGAAGTATTGTTTCTATGGCGGTCGGATGCAGCAATTTCAAGTTTCGCCTATTCTATTCCATAGAGAGAAAAAGCGAAATGACCACTTCCGGCCACCATAACTTACACCACAGAATTTTTGTTTAATTCGATGTAAGCGTTTGTTTACGTACGACTCACCACTAGCACTCTAATATTCAATAAAAAGGCAAAATCAATAACTGAACTTGAAGAGCGTTGAAAACCCTAAATACCAAACAAATCTGACTAAGGTTATCTATGCCTGGGGGAAGACAAAATAAAGTGTTTTAACATTTAATAGACACTAAATTAAAAAACTGACCATATCAATGATATGACTGTCAGCACAATTGTCTAACTAGTGGGATGGTGATACCCTCGGGGATGAAACGTCCACCAGCAGTAAAATCGACTCAGTGGTGTGTAAAATCTATCTTAAGGAATGCCAATTTCTTTAAAAACTCAATGACAACAATTGGGAGTATAAAAGACTGAACTCTCAGTTAAATAGCAAATTGCAGTATTAACACAATATACTTAAGTTATTGGAAAATATGTAATTCATTTGTTACAAAACAAGGTAAAAGCTCATCGAGCCTCGCTTTTTGTTCCATTTTCTAGTAGTTCCCGACTATCGGATTCCTGGAACTTTATTTTCATTGGACACAAATATGGTAAAATATACCTCTGCACAAAGAATGCGTCTGATTACTGTAATAGCACATTATTCAATTCTCCTGGTGCACAATCATATAGGATTAACCAAGGACAAAAATGGTTTTGAATCCCCCTTGGGAACGTAGATATTGGATTCAAGGGGATATTGACTGACCACAAATATTTTGAAACTCTCATTTGATACCTCGGAAGCAAAGATATTTTTACATCAATCGACGTTTTGATTTGTAGTTAAAAGAAACTATTTCTTAGCAGACTAGTTTATTTATCACATCTATTTATTTTTGACTGGCAAACTTAAAGTTAAAGTTCCCCAGAGGAACAATCTAGAATGAGAATCATCTATCTGCTTTCCGATTACAGTTTGTTGATTCCTTCAAGTAAACAATTGTGGAAGTCTAATGAGGTAAAATATATTTGATGAAATCAGCTACCTAAATAAAAACTATCCTTTTGGGTCACATTTGTACACGCAGTACTTCTGAAACAGTGACCGGTAATGTCATAGCTCATAACGAATAAACAAAAAGTCTGACAGTTTAAGTTAAGTGGTCTCCAATAAATTTGAATGATAACTTTGCAAATTAAGCCATGTGACGCAATCTGCATATGAATGTCAGTCAACAGACTGAAACCTATTAAATTCTTAACCACAGAAGTCCTTCCAATAATCCAGCAGTTATTTGTCATTCCAACAAAACACCTTTTATTCTTCTATCAATAGCAACCCAATATATATGCTAATTAATGACTCTTGATATGCGGCGTATTTATACAATATAATAAGTTTGGAAGCAAAAATCAATTCGTCTATTAGTTTTTCCTCTCAAGTGACGGCATCTTATTTGTCAAAACATGGCTTGTTCTTCGACAGAAATTATGAGTTAATTCTATAGACAAGCAGAACAGCTTTCTCTGATAAGGTAATGGTAAATAGGCAGTCCAGTTATACATCCGACCTTTAAGACGTATTCTGTTGACAAGCAGAACAGCTTTCTCTGATAAGGTAATGGTAAATAACCAGTCCAGTTATACATCCGACCTTTAAGACGTTCTGTCAATGATGATGTAGAAGGATTACCCCGGACAAATACTCTTTATGTTTAATAGGACTTTTTAGAAATAGCGCTTATGTAGATAACAATGTTTTAATTGTAATGTTGCTTCAAACCATAAATATATTACAATTATATTACGCCAATCTCCCATTTATTTGTGATTGTGTTAGACCGTCTCGTTATGGTCAACAGTTGACAATCGAATTGTTTTTTGCGTTGCTTTTGTGTTCAATGTCAAATAGTTTTTGATACTTTTTCGACAAAAAAAGTATACAGCGTTGTTCCTTTATCTACATTGCTTAGCTAAAAATGGTCGTCAAACGCATCAAAGCTTTACTTAGGTTGGTTCCCTCCGTAAAATATTCATTGTGCCTATTGTCAACCTGGTCAAATAACGACCGGGTAACAGTCTTAGCTTTACTCTGAGTAACCACAATAAAAGGAGTTGTGAGGTATAAGTCAGTTAGACATCAACTCAAACGAACAAAAGCCAAAATACATCCAGAGATCAAAATACATAGAGTCTTCAACAATAGAAAATTGTCAGTGCAATATGCCAAGCTCTAGTCCAGAGTCAATAACCAAAAACAAATCTCCCAAATAAATCAATGTGTATTTGTACAGATGAACAACTTCAATCCAATTATCTATATAGATCCTTTTTAAAGCAGCATCTTTAAATATATAACGAACATGTGTGATCTATTTCAACATTTTGATTTATTTTTCGCATTAAATTGCTGCTTGTTGATAATTTAAGAATTGAATTTCAAAAGCGTTCTGGCAAATAAAAAAAACATGTAATGTTATTTATTTACCACGAGTGCATGTAATACATTGAATTTCTTAGCATATACTGAAGCATTGGTCAAATTTTGGCGGAAGGGAGGGGGTAACAAATTAAACAGCTGAGTTATTTGGATAATCGGTGTATACCAAAGTTATGGATATATTTATTTTTCTAAACAAGACCCCCTAATAAGACCTAGCATTATTATCATGCAAATAAACTGATTTTTGTTATGAGGGTGTGGATGGGGGTTTACAGAATAGAGAATAATGGGCAAAAAATATAAAGAATACAGAAAAATTGACAAAAAAATAAAGAATAGAGAATACTGAGGTGCTAAAATATAAAGAATAGAGAATGATATGCAAAAAGTATAAAGAAAAGAGAAAAATGGCCGAAAAAGTTAAAGAATACAGAAATGAAGGATCCCCATCCAGACACTCTTTTATTATAAATACAGTAGACAGGAGTAGTTTAGAAGGTCGCGATTTCATAACTTTTCATTCTTCATTATTTTTAGTTCGCGAGTCGCTTATTTTAATGTTTTAAGTTATTTAAGGAATGCAATTACGACTTCAAGCTTCCAAAATAATTAAGTTAAAAATAAACGTATTAGAATACGCATTTTTGTGAAAAGAATTCCATAATTTAAGAAGGAGTATATTACTCATCTGGAAATTAATTTGTCGTCAAATTAAGAATAGAAATTAAGCAATCCTTATCCGATTGCAAAAGACATTTATCTTTTCAAGTACGACAAGATTTCAGCACGTATGGTTTTGTGATAGACATAGAGCATTTCAAGCATTGCATTAAGAACAGATTAATAGAATCATATTGACTATCGAAGTCAACACATATTCATAGCACTGTCTAATCCAGAAACCAATCCCAGAACATCATAAATATAATGATCACTAAAACAAAGCGACAAGAAACCCATTCCAAATTAAATAGTTTGAGTGGAAAGAAGAAGATTATGAAATGATTAGATGTGTCATACAATAATAAATGACGTCTCAATTTCGATTTCCCGAGTTCACATTATTTTAGTCTTGTCTGGTCTTTCCACACTTTAAGATTTGCAAAAAGTTTTTTTATTTATTTGTAAATTAGAGAAACTACAAATGTATGTAGATCTAACTGATAAGGTGTATGTTGCCGTTTATACAGCTAATATTTTTTTTTCTAAAAATTTTGTTTATTTCCAGCATCTTGCAAATGTTCACTTTTTTATTTTTTTTTATAAGGTTAATGGCGCTTTCTGTACGCCTGTTTAATACGAAATTTTCAAAGTGCTACAATATCAAAACATTAAAAATACCAAAAAAAGTGACGTGCCATTTTGTACATATACCAAAAGGAAACGTTGTTCAAAATTTAGCAATACTGTTAAATATGTCATTGCATTTAATAGAAAATGGGGATTTGGTGGCATATAATTCCAGATTTTGGCAAAAAACCCACAGACTTTATTACAGGGATATTCGTAATAAAATTCTGAACATAGATTACTCACACTTGCTTGTCCATGATGTGCTAGCGTTTATTGTCTAAAAGAAAGTCCTAAACAACCTTTACA